TGCTATTACGATTTCTCATTGCACAGTGAAATGGCATAAATACGTTTCAAGCTAACTAAAGGAATGACCTAAACATTCATTTTAAAGTTGCCGCAAGAAAGAAGCCATCATGACACCTTCAAACAAAGTGTTTATCCCCTCAGGTTTTCTGCTGGACGTTTAGAACTAGTGCTCCGTACTGAAAATATTGGTCCTCCAAGCCTGCAGGGAGAACTAACAAAGGGACCTTATTCTGAAAAACACAGAACAGGCAGCCTGCAGCTTGATGGTAATTCTTAGGAAACCCAGCTATTTAATCGGGTTTCATTACTGGGTAGATACTTGATTTGGAAAATCCACATCAGCAATCACAAACCAATGGTTAAATGGGCTGCTTAAACATTACAAGCATCCTCAGAATGCACTTAAAGTAGTTACTAATTATACTTTCATCAAATATGACCTCAATTGCGAAGGTCATGTCCCTTACATTGTTTATTTAAGAACACTGTCAAGGCTACAAACTAGCATCATCCAGTGGGGCTATTAAACAAGTGATGGTCTTTCTCTTAAAAACATATTTTTGTACAAAAGAACAGCTGTCATGAATGTAGCCACAAGGTTATGTCACTGAGGCATCCGGGGAGAAACATTAGGTTTGCGGCTGAACAGTTCAGAGAGACAGTGACAGTTCAACATGACATGTAGGATGCGTCTTTCGCCATTAATCACAGTCTGCGGTATGGAAACAGGACTATTAATGGAACAGTCCACCCATGTAAACATCCTAATCGGAGTGATGCCTGGCTCTGATTTTTGGCCACAATAGTTAGCCGACATGCAGATGATGTGTTTGTAGTCAAGACGAGGAATGTCTCTGGACCACGCCTGAAGCTGCTACATAAGTCTAGCATGCGAGCAGTGAGGGAGGGGAGGACGGGTGGAGCGAGGGAGGGAGTGTGGAGAGGACTAGACAATGGAGAAGACGAACCCCAAAGACTTTGCATCACTCGTTCGCACACTCGCTCTCTTTTTCCTCTCCTCATCATTTCAACTGCCTTCGCAGCACACACCTACAGATTTGTCCACACTTACTAAGGCACTGCAGACTTTTGACATGTAGTAATCACACACACACACACACACTTTGGATGTGCCAGATGAAAGAACACCTACATCAATGGCAGGACTGTGGAAGCGTGTGTCGTAGAGATAAAAGCATTATGCAACACATGCCAGCCTGTAATAACCCTTCATGTCATGTAAGCTATGAAGCGGTCGCAAACTATACAAACACACACACATACAGCATACACACTTATAGGGCACATGATATTAGTTATGGAGAGAACTATAGAAGACATGCAGTACAGAACAGCTAATGTGACAGGGCTGACGGATTGAAAATGGCCTGTAGGAGTTGCCTAAGATGATGTGCAGAAACAGAGTTATTAACTAAGACTACATCATGATGCAACTGACACATAATGTGGACTAAATATTAGCAAGTTTGTTTCCCATGCAAAATCAACGGTACATAAATCATTAACAATAGCGTAGATAAAGGGTGTGAGAGTGACAGGTAAGCAGGTATGAAGCCAGATAGGAAATTAAAATAATACATGATTTAAATGTTTAATGTTTCTATCAGGGATATCCATCCCATGCAAAGTCCGCAATGTTATGCTGACACACCGAATAAGTAAGATGTCACTTTCCATAGCGTATTTCCTGGCATCATGTTGACTGACAGTTGTTTTTAAACCTTTATTTATCCCAGTCAATGCAGCACATTTGACCTTTTTCCAGCAACCAGTGCTGCACTGATACCCACTGATTGTACAGAGATATTACAGAACTCAAGCCCCGGAGCTTAAAGTGAAGCGTCATTCTGTCAGAGCTGCATGGCATCTACCCTCCTATGTCACATCAGCCGGCAGTAAATAGTGTGGGTAATGAGAAGCTAATCTCCAGGGACAGTGTTAGGTCTCGTCTGCGACCACAGTTTCCACCAGCCTGTGCTGTTATGTGGAGCAACAGAATGTTTTTGGAGTCTCATTGAATAATTTTGTTTTATTTTTAGTTGTTTTGAGTTCTGTGCAAATGTGAAAAAAAACCATAAAATGTGAAAATTATAATAAGTCAAAAAATGCTGCCACGCCAGTTGTCATTTCCTAAAACTGCAGCCTTCTTTTACATTAACTTCACACTAATGGCAACAAACGGTTCTTTTAACAGTGTTTTGTTATTTGCTGCCAACATAGTTTGACAGAATGAGTAGCAAACAAATTCTAAAATAAGTCACTGCACAGTTTAAAAACAAATAGAATTATGTTATGTTGAAAGCTCATTTAAATACCTTATAAGTTTCGACACATTTGCACCTTATATTCATAAATTATGTATTATGTGTAATGGAATTAGGAACAAAAGTTTGTGGAACACTTTGGATATCGTTTCCGAGGGGACAACTCTCACGTATGTTTTCTACAAATGGAGATGAAGCCGGGATACGATTAGTTTTGCATCAAGACTGGAAGTAAGTTTGGACCATACCAAAACAGAATTGTCAAAATGATAAGCTGTGATTTCACACACAGACTCCAGGAAGTCACTGCCACTGTTGACCAAGAACTAGCTTCACTTCATAACTCCCTGTAAGAGCAGTGCACATATTTCCCAAAATGTTGAACTATTCCTTTAAGAAAAGAATGCGTGCATGAGACATAATTACCTGTCGAAAACCCCGAAAGATTTATAACGCATATAGTAGTTGGACCTGCGTTTTCTTCGAGGACAACTTCAGTCCACTTGGATTTGCACTATATCATCTGTGTGTGTGATATTTGACTTTCTTCATAGGGCAAAGAGGTATTGGTCTTCGAGGAATGAAGGAGGGAGAAATGTAGTTCACAGATTTGAAATAGAAATGATGTTTACATCTGGTGACTGGGGAGGCCCAAAGGACACCAGACATCACTCTGGTGTTTTAAAATCCATATTTGAATTGTTTGTGGGAATACTGTGTGTGGAAATATTATCAGCCAGGAGTATACGGTCATCTACCTTGTTTTGAGGTTCTTTAGCTATTATGCAGAACACTCCGACACATCGCAAGTGGCAGACAGTGTGCTGAAGATGTAAATGTGTCCAGTGGGAAATAGATGACTCATCAGATCACAAAACTGTTTTCCATTGCTCATGGGTTTAGGTTTGCACCCCGCATGTCCAGGGGTGGATTTCTGAGCGAGCCAATCAGACAGTGACACAGATCAGAGGCCCTGGGGGCCAAGGGGCCCCTACAAGAAGGGTCTCTGTGTGAAGTGACTTCTGTTAAGATTCCTCATTGCACAGCGAAATGCCAAAAAGACCTTCTGGCCTAAAGATTCACTTTGAAGTTGTCACAAGGAATAAGCCATCATGACACCGTCAAATGAAGTGTTCATCCCCTCAGGTTTTCTGTTGGACATTTAGGGCTCCGTACTGACATCATGCAATATTGGTCCTCCAAGCCTGCAGGGAGAAATCAAGGACTCGTCCTTTCATAATCCATGCTCACATCAGAAATATGCATGATTTTGCAGGACGAAGATCCAAAAAGCCAGTGGTAGTGTGATCATTTGTGTGTCTGTATTGGAGCTCTACAGGAACTAAAAGAGATGGTGGAAACTTACACCTCTACAAGAACAGCGAGACGTGGATAAAGCAGCGTCGTAGCGCAACTGTGAGTATAATCTATGCAGGAGGGCAAGAATAAATCTTTGCATCTGCCGACTTTAAGGCATTCCAACAAGAATCAGTGACATTCAACAGAGAGGCATTTCTGTCTGAACACCCTCAAAATGCAAGTGTTTTATTATAGAGGTGCTTAAAACTCACAATTGTAGGATCACAATTGTAGGATGCCTTGGATTATTTTGCCACCCTCCATCTTTTGAATATTAATTAATTAAATACATAATTAAGAATATTAACTCAGTAAATTATGAGGTATACTTCTGTGGAAGAAATTATCCTGATGATTATCTTTTTTTTATTTTTTTTTTATTATGGAGGATTATTTGCAACGTTGCACTCTTTGAACAATAACAAAGAAACCGTATAAACTATTTGACCTGTTTCTTGCCTCACATTGCTTCAGCTACTTTATAAATGTGGTCACATCAGACCTCCTTTGAAGTTGACACGTACCCCTAATTGAAAATTTAACTTTGAAGTCGAATTTGGTGTTTCTGCTTCGTTACATGTAAATGGTTTCATCATTTAGTTACAATGTATAAATCCATTCTTTACCTCTGGGTAGGTTGTCCAAATTTAACATGGGACCAATACTAATCCGCAGCTATAAGCAATGCCATGCTACTGAATTAATCATCAACTGCTTTAATGTTTTCAAACATACATTTTTCTAAAATACATCCAAATAATTCAGTACGATCCATGACAAAATTGTAAACATTGCCCATATTTGTTTATTTCAATTAATGCTAGAGGAAAAGAAAGCCATATGTTCTAGTTCTGGTTACTGCCATGTTTTAATGACCTCAAAGGACTGACAGCTTACATGGTGAAAAAATTATCCTTCCCTTTTCTTGTCATCCAAGGAATTTAAGGATAAATTCTTTAGCAGAGAGGAATACAGTCCTGGCGCGGAACAAAAACTACAAAAGCAAGCAAATCTCTAGTATTATAATCCCTGTGTATGACTGTGGTTTTTGAAGTCAAATCAATCCCACAATGAAATCCTCCTCCTGTCTGTCTTCGGGAAGAATGAAAATCTATAAAATCGCCTGCTAAGTCTGGAGCGGTGCCAACTAATTCTGAGCTTCCATCATCACACACAAACACACAACCCAAAACAGGACAACTCCACTCAGTGGC